TAATAATAATAATAATAATAATAATAATAATAATAATAATAATAATAATAATAATAATAATAATAATAATATGAAAATTTTATTTTATGAAACGGCATTCAAATTTAAAAAAAAAACGGGGGGAATTTTTTTTAATGAATTAAATAAATTCTTAATTTAGGAGAAGAAATTGTGTGTAAAATTTTTGGAAAGATAGTAAATTCTTTTGATATTTTCTATAAATATAAAGAACTTCCTTTTTTTTTTAAATGGAGAGGGTGTATAAATATGTGTATATAGTAGCCATTCTAAAGCTTGAAGAAAAGAAAAAAAAAAGACGGAAATTCGGGGAAGAACGAGACTGCGAATCGAGGGTGAGAATTTGGTTTCATAAGCGTTCAAGCATCGATAAGGTTATTAGTCAGGGAGATCATTCGATAACTTACATAGTCAGGTGAGTCTTCATGAGACTTTAACTGGGATGCATACTTATGTACAAATTATTTGAGCATTACGATATTTTATGTATATGTTTATGTTTTTTTTACATGTATATGAATTATTATTGTGGGTTGCATGCTATATGTTTACGTGTTTTTTTTAAACATTAATTAACATGTTATAAACGGGTTAATATTTTTGTCGGGTATGGGAAGTGGTCAAAAGTCATAGGAATGGCACATCCTAGGGATGGGTGACCGGACAAGGGATAGCCGTGTAACCTGGGGAAGTGCGGATGACGCTAAGACCCTAACCCGACGGGAAATTAAGAGATCTCATTATTATTTCAAAAGAGTTTGAAACAAATGTGCATATTATTTTATTTGGGGTATTGTTTAATTTATGCATGATGTGAAATGTATGATTGTGCATGAAAACCATGAACTCACCGAGCTTTATAAAGCTGACTATTAGTATGCATCTCAGGAGCTGAGTATTCAAGAACGGAAAAGGGCAAAGGTTCTGCGTAGGAAATAGAATTTTTATTTGAGTTATGAATTATAAAATTTATATTAGTTTAATTGAATTTATGTGTAATGTAACCCGATATGGGATGGGTTAGTTTGGAGATATTTATTTACGATTAAATTATTGTAAGACTTCCGTTGCGATAAGGCTTTATTAGATATATATATATATATATATATATATATATATATATATATATGTTTATAGCCTAAGCTTAAACTTGTGAGGTTTAGTATCACTATACACGTTACAATTAAGTTTGATTTTTTAATGTGTGACTTAGTGTTTTCCTTGTGGTTTTGTAGGAAGATGGTGCACACTATTCACACTAGGGCTATTAACCRTGGGAGAGGACGTGGGCGCAGAACTGTAGGACGGAGGGTACCATTCGGGCTAGGCCCGCATTGTGAAAGCATTGATAGTCGTCACACCAATGTGACTCCTAGTTGGAACCGCATACCCAGGGGTGACAGTCCAACATCCCTAAGGAGTAACCCAACTCAGGTTTCGTTTCAAGGGACACCTGTGATAACGCAGCCCGCCACGTTCCCCAATTTGGAAGAAAGGATATAATTCCTGCAAAGAGAGAAAGCTGAGTTGTGGAATAAGTTGGCCTACCTCGAATGGGACAATGATAGGTCTAGGGGAATGCTCGACAACCTACAACGAGCTCAAATAAGGCTGATAACAGAGAGGGATAACCTACGAGGAGAGAGAGATCTTTTGAAACTAAAGTTGGCTCAAGAACGGAGAATTGTCGCCTGGTCATGGCGCACTCGGGTAAGGGATAGGACCAGCTTTTGCAAGATGGTAACTATGGAGTATGTCGGGATCGAGAAAGGATATTTTGCTGCATGGGTCAAAAATTTCAAAATGGGTCCAAAGGCAAACCCATTATGGAAATTCAAACCATCGTTGACCTATGCACAGTGGATTAGAGATCCCTACCTTCCCGAGATGCCTTAGGGATATGGATAGCCATAAAGTGAGAATTTTTTTTAGTATTTGAATTAATGTTTAGCTTGGGATGTTTTTGCTAGTTAATACTTTGATGACGATTTAGTAATCCCGAATTTTGATAGCTATAGTAGACTTATATATTGATTGTCTCTCTTTTTGAATCCGTAATATGAATAATAAATTATGGCTTTATGGTTTGAAATGGTCGTAGTTGTTTCTTTCTTTTTCTTTTCTCAGTGGTTGCATGTATTTAGTAATTAGATTTTAATATCACGCTACTATATTCAGTATGGTATCACGTGGATCAACAAGAAATGCCACTATCGGGAGGGAGTTGGAAATCAACCACCACCAACAAGAAGAGGCCGCGGTCGCGGTCGAGGTCGAGGTCGTGGCCATGGTCATGGTAACACGCAAGCTCAAGTGAAACTTTTTTTGTGGATGCAAGCTCGGCCACCCGTAGGGTACAAGAGAAAAATCAAGGAATTGGAAGAGGAGAAAACGACGTTACCGATGAGGCACTAACTGAAAGGATGACACGAGTCCTCCAAAATACCCTTCCAAGCATGCTAAAAGCCATATTAGGTGATAGATTCAAAGGCCCCAAAGAGGAAGAGGAAGCAAGCACCCAGAAAAGGAAGACAATGATTAACTCCCAACCCACTGAAAAAACGGAGTCGTCCGTCCAAGGAAAAGATGAGCCACCAGTGCAACTGAGGGTGTAATCCCAAACCAAGGAAAAGGGTTGCAGTTACAAGACTTTTAGTAGCACCCGTCCGAAGGAATTCAGAGGTATTGAGGGCCCGGTAGCCCTAATGAACTGGATGACTAAAATACAAAGTTGTTTTAAGATTTGTAAGTGTTCAGAAGAACAAAAAGTGACTTACGCTGCTACTACATTTGGAGATTCAACACTTCATTGGTGGGAGACTGAATGCGCCATTCGAGGGGATGAAAACATCGCCACCCTGACCTGGGAGGAAATGAAGAAGATGTTGATGGATAAATATTGTACACAGACAGAGGTGAAGAAGTTAGAGTCAGAGTTCCTGAGGTTGGAGCAAGGATCTTTGTCCGGTTCAAGAGTACGTGAACAAATTTCTAGAAAAGGCTAGGTTTGCTAGTTATCAGGTGGCAACTGAGCAAAGAAATATAGATCGATTTAAAGATGGCCTAAGGATAGAGATAAAGCAGTACGTGGATATGGTTAAACCAACCACGTTTGTTCAAGCTGTGGAAATGGCGACTGTTGCGGAGGAAAATAACATCAAGGCAACTAGGGAGAGAAGGGAGGTCAAAAGGAAATGGGAAGCATCAAGTAAATTGACAAAGAAATCCAAGGGGGAGATGACAGATACGAAGGCACRAAATGGAGAGTTCACAATTCCTCAGTGCACYAAATGCAATCGAAGACATAGGGGTGAATGTTGGGCAGCAAAAGTGACATGTTTTCGATGCGGAAAACCCGGGCACACATCAAGGGAGTGTACTGAAAGCAAACTTTGCTATGATTGTGGGGCATCAGGTCATATACGGTCTGAATGTCCTAAAAACCAAAAGGGGACCATAAGCAATGTTAGAGTTTCAAGTAACGGGTCAGGAAGAGGGGCAGAGAAGAGGAAGGAACTACCTAAGGGACCAGGACGAGCATACAACATGACTTTSGAGGAGGCTAGGGAGTCTCCTGACGTCGTATCGGGTATGTTTCTTGTAAACAATGTTTATGCTCATGTACGGTTTGATTTGGGTGCAAATGGTAGTTTCATGTCTTCTACTTTCCGCCACTATTTGAATAAGGATGCTAGTAGACTAGGGAAGAGCTATACTGTAGAAACCGCTGACGGCAGTCAAGTTAAAATAGATGAAATAGTTTATGGGTGCACGATCTGTATAGATGGTAGAGAATTGCCTGTTAGGTTAATGCCTATGTGTTTAGGAGGTTTTGATGTGGTTCTAGGAATGGATTGGTTATCCGAAAACCAAGCACAAATAGTGTGCCACCAAAAGATGATCAAAATTCAAACCCCCGAAGGGCAAACAATTCATGTGTATGGCGATCGTAGAAAGTGTGGTACGGGGATCATCACAACACTAAAAGCGAGAAAGTGCCTTCAAAAAGGGTGCACTGCTTATCTAGCGTATACGGTCGATGCTAAGTTAGAAAAAGGAACGGTACAAGAGGTACCAGTGGTAAACGAGTATCCAGAAGTTTTCCCGGATGAACTGCCAGGACTACCACCAGAACGTCAAGTTGAGTTTCGTATTGACTTAGTGCCAGGTGTGGCTCCTGTTGCAYGAGCACCTTATCGGTTAGCCCCAACAGAGATGCAAGAGTTGATGAAACAACTTCAGGAGTTGTTAGACAAAGGGTTTATCAGACCAAGTTCATCTCCATGGGGAGCACCAATCCTATTTGTAAAGAAGAAAGATGGCTCAATGCGAATGTGCATTGATTATCGTGAGCTTAACAAGCTCACGATCAAAAATAGATGCCCGTTGCCAAGGATTGATGACTTATTTGATCAGTTACAAGGAGCTAGCCACTTCTCGAAGATTGATTTAAGATCAGGTTACCACTAGTTGAAAGTCCGAGAAGAAGATGTGCCAAAAACTGCTTTTAGAACTCGATACGGTCATTACGAGTTTATAGTAATGCCCTTTGGACTGACAAATGCTCCAGCAACATTCATGGACCTGATGAATAGAGTATGTAGGCCGTATCTGGATAAGTTTGTCATCGTGTTCATAGACGACATTCTTATTTATTCGAAAAGCGAAAAAGAACATGAGAAACATTTAAGAACTATTCTGGAACTACTGATGAGAGAGAAGTTGTACGCCAAATTCTCGAAATRTGAATTCTGGTTACGAGAAGTGCAATTTCTCGGTCATGTGGTCAACTCGGAAGGATTTAAAGTGGATCCGTCAAAGATAGAGGCCGTCATGGATTGGGAGTCGCCAAAATCTGCATCCGAAATCCGAAATTTCTGGGTCTAGCAGGCTATTACCGAAGGTTTATCAAGGACTTCTCCAAAATAGCAATGCCTATGACCAATTTGACAAAGAAGTCAATTAAGTTTGATTGAGGAGAAAAACAAGAAGAGGCTTTCGGAATCCTCAAGACCAAGTTGAGTAGCGCGCCAGTCCTTGCCTTACCGGAAGGAACAGAAGACTTTGTTGTTTATAGTGACGCCTTTAAGATGGGTCTGGGTTGTGTACTAATGCAACGAGGCAAGGTTATTGCTTATGCATCACGACAATTATAGGAGCACGAGACGAAGTATCCAACCCATGATATGGAGTTAGCTGCAGTAGTATACGCGCTGAAGATTTGGCGACACTACTTGTATGGTACAAAATGCATAATATATTCATATCATAAGAGCCTGAAGTATCTTTTTGATCAAAAGGAACTAAATATGAGGCAAAGAAGATGGATGGAACTCCTCAAGGATTACGATTGTGAAATTCATTATCATCCCGACAAGGCAAACGTAGTGGCCGACGTTTTAAGTAGGAAAGAAAGAGTCGAGCCTATTCGAGTGCGGGCCATGTGGATGAGCGTGAAAGTAGATATGGTAGATCAAATCCGAGATGCTCAAAAGGAAGCCTTGATTGAAGCAAACATTAAGAAGGAGAGAATAGTTGGGCAAATTAAGTCACTGACCGTCGGGTCAGATGGAATACACAGATTTGGGAATCGGGTGTGGATTCCTAACTTAGGTGATTTGAGAAGTAAGGTACTAGATGAGGCACATAAGTCTAAGTACACTATGCACCCGGGTAGCGATAAAATGTACAAGAATTTGAAGGAGAGCTACTGGTGGCCGGGTATGAAGAAGTCAGTAGCTGGGTATGTGGAGAAGTGTTTGACTTGCCTACAAGTGAAGATAGAACATCAGAAACCATCAGAAATGTTACAGCAAATGGAAATACCAGTGTGGAAGTGGGATATGATAACAATGGAYTTTGTTACCAAGCTACCAAAGACGATGAAAGGACATGATGCAATCTGGGTGATTGTTGACCGATTGACGAAGTCCGCTCACTTCCTACCAATCAGTGAAAAATATACATTAGAGAAGTTAGCTCAATTATATGTCAACGAGATTGTGTCAAGGCATGGTGTGCCGATATCAATTGTCTCAGACAGGGATGCTCGATTAACATCGAGATTTTGGTCAAGCTTCCAACAAGAGATGGGGACTCGATTGAATTTAAGCACTACCTACCACCCACAAACCGATGGTCAAAGTGAAAGGACGATACAAACACTTGAAGATATGCTAAGGGCATGCAATATCGATTTTGGGGGTAGTTGGGACAACCACTTACCATTAATAGAGTTCGCATACAACAATAGTTATCATTCGAGCATTAAGGCAACACCTTTCGAAGCCCTATACGGTCGAAAGTGCAGAACACCTATGTGTTGGCGGATATCGAAGAAAGGCAGTTGGCTGGGCCAGAGTTAGTTCAACAGACGTCAGATAAGATAACACAAATCCGAGAAAGGTTGAGGATCGCGCAAGACAGACATAAAAGCTATGCGGATAAAAGGCGTAGGCCTCTAGAGTTTCAAATTGGGGATCAAATGATGTTAAAAATATCACCCTGGAAGGGAGTAGTTCATTTTGGTAAACGTGGAAAGCTAAGTCCAAGATATGTTGGACCATTCGAGATCATAGGAAAGGTGGGAGCGGTGGCATATCGTTTGAAGTTGCCTGAAGAATTACAAGGGATTCATGACACATTCCACGTGTCAAATTTAAGGAAATGCTTAGCTGACGAATCAACAACTCTAGCATTAAAAGATGTAAAGATCAATAAAAAATTGGGTTACATTGAAGAACCAATTCAAGTCTTGGACAGAAAGACGAAGAGGTTGCGAAACAAAACCATTCCATTGGTTCTTGTAAAGTGGAAATTTCACAAGGGGTCAGAGATGACGTGGGAACCGGAGAGGGATATGAGAGCCAAGTACCCACATCTGTTCAATGATGAGTGATTTCAGGGACGAAATCCTATTTTTAGGAGGGGAGAGTTGTAACACTCTAAAATAAGGGTAATTGAAATAAGTGAAATATTGAAGATTTATTATGTTTTAGTTAATTGAA